TTCCAGGCCCCTTCATGAGAAGTATCGAAGAGCCTTTTCAGGGTCTGGTGCTTCTTCGAATTGAACTCCCATAAAGGGCGGCTTCGGCGTTGGCACGGAAGAATCCGGCGGACCAGCATCACCTGGATAATGTCAACGAGCTTAACGTCCTTGGTCACCATGCTTTCAACGCGCGTCTGCAGCGCTATCAGCTCGTCAGGTGAACACCAGTCCGAACTCTTCTCGGCCCAGGAGGTGAGTCGCATGGGAGCACTGGAGCGGAATTCGGCAGCTGCGGACTAGGTGGTGCCACGAGGTTCTGTGATGTAGAACCACTGCTTCTGCCATTCCTTTACTGTCTCCACAAAGGTGCCTTTGGGCCAGGAGACATTGGATAGCTTGCTCACCATGGCCCCTCCGCACTACGCGTGCTGGCCATCCACCACCTTCGGCTTCACGTTGAAGACTTTGAGCCACAGCCCGAAGTGGGGATGGATGCGGAGGAAGGCCTCGCACACGACGATAAATGCTGAGATGTTGAGGAAGGAATTCGGGGACAGATCATGGAAATCTATCCCATAATAGTACATAAGCCCACGGATGAAAGGGTGGAGCGGAAACCCTAGCCCGCGGAAAAAATGAGGGATGAATACTACCCTCTCTGTGGGCTCCGGCGTGGGGACGACTTGTCCCTCGGCTAGCAGACGATGGGCAATCTCCTTCGCCAAATATTCGGCCGCCCGGAGCTTAGTAATGTCCTCCTCCTTGACAGAGGAGACCATCCACTTGCCCTGACCACCAGATCCGGACATGGTTGCTCAAGTGGAAAGGAGATGAGAACTTGGGCGTTGGAGCTTGAGATCGGAAAGGCGGAGACGGAGAGAAAGCGTGATGAGAGGAAGAGGGAATCATATTCCCCTTATAAAGGCAGCAAATATTAAACGCCTCCTCACTCGCCTTAGGATTCGCCTATTCCCTAGGGCTGTATAAACGGTACGGTTGAGTTACCCATGCCCGCATTGATGAGAATCCCGCAATAAGGGGCACGATCTCTGTTTCGACAAGACGTGTCGATAGGAACCGCGTCTCGAAGCGTGGAATGGCAGAAGAAAAACGGTTCAAAATTATAACCGGACAAACGTGATGTCGTGTTGGAAAAAAGCTGTCAACGGATTAGATTCGTACAGATATTATATTCTCTCTGCGGTTGTGTATGGTGTGCGTAACATGTCAGGATACTATCATTGCATCCGAAGACTATCTTGGAGTTCAGAGAAAGGGGAACCCGCCTTGCAATTCTGAAGACAATCTGCATGACGGACTCCTCGTCATTGAAAGCCAGGTTCAGAGGCTACTGAGGGAGTCCTGGACTAAGGGGTCCTCGGGCGTCCGGCCTGTTATCCATGGGCCGGACTGATGGGCTGTGAAGACATGAAGGCCGAAGACTGCACCGTGTACAGATTGGACTCTACTTGGCATGGAAGGCAAGCTTAGCGACCGAAGATTCTTTCTTATGTAACCGACTCCATGTAAACCCTAGATCCCCTCGGTGTCTATATAAACTGAAGAGGATTGTCCGGAAAGGACACGACATATACTCATTACCATATTCATAGGCTAGACTTCTAGGGTTAGCCATTACGATCTCGTGGTAGATCAACTCTTGTAATACTCATATTCATCAAGATCAATCAAGTAGGAAGTAGGGTATTACCTCCATAGAGAGAGCCCGAACCTGGGTAAACATCGTGTCCCCAGTCTCCTGTTACCATCAATCCTAGACGCACAGTTCGGGACCCCCTACCAGAGATCCGCCGGTTTTGACACCGACAACCGTCGGTACTCCGGCAGAGATCCGACATCTCCTCATCGGCCCCTCCACGCGCCGTCGGTCGGCGGAAGGCCTTCCTGCGACGGATCCAATCGGGGGGTTGGATCCGCAGTCACCGTCGTCACCATCCCGATCAGAACAGCCCACCCCGTCGGACGGGGTGCTGCCGCCGCCGCCGTCCATTCAGGGCCACCGCTCCGCCGGCTATGGTGCGCCGGCCACCGCCGGCTATGGTGCTCCGCCGCACGGCCTGAGGTCGCCGCCCCAGGCGCCACACGACTTGTTGCATATACAAATGTAATGTTTGTTAGATTTCATATGTTTAGGAAGGATGGGAAGTAACAGTCCAGCAATTAGTGAAATCAACTTCAGTTGCATATTTGGCTAAAAAATGTAATTTGACAACGTATACATAAAGAGCAATAGTCCAACTAATTATCAAAAAACATTTGGTCGGTGTGTTCTTTTAATATGATTGGGAAAACACATAAATAGAATAATTGTTGGTTAAATTCTTGTGTTTATAACTCATTTTGAGATGGAGGAATTAGATGATTGGGCGTGCCGTACGTCCTCAAATGTGTTTTTGGACATAAGCGGGGGAAATGCAGGTACTACGGGATTGTTTGGTTTCCAGCCACAGTTTGCCAAGCCAATATTTGGCAGCCACAGTTTAGTTGGCATGTGTTTGATTTTTATCACACTTTGGTTTGCAACACTTTATTGTCTCTGTGGGCTACTTGTCATAGAGACAATTTTTTTTTGCCAACTTTTACTAAAGTTTGACGTTTAATTTTTCAGCCACACTTTTGTGACTTGCCATACTTGTGTGGCTAGCGACACTTTGGCTTGGCCACACTAGTGTCCAACCAAACAGAGCCTACACAACATTTCCAAGAAGTTGTTTATATTTTCATTGTCATGTGTCCGGGATTTTTTGGTCCGTAGATTGTAATTTGTATGGATAAGTGGATATACATATGGAGCAGCGATCATCTGTAATAAATTAAGATCTATTTGATGTGCCTAAAATTCCTTTTTTGCGGGGGAGAAATATTCATGTACAATGCCAACAAGGCTGTCTTGAGCTTCATCGACACAGTAGTTTCCTCGATTCATAACCATACGCCACGAGCAATACATGGTCTTATGGACATTCTCTGGTTTTGGCGACGAAGAATCCCCTTTTGAGGCGCGTATACTGCACACGTACCATAAAATTATGGTACTGGCCGTAACGCAGCAAAGCTTTGCACTGCTAGCGGTACTGGAAATGCAGGAAAGAATGACGTACAAGTACTAACACGATGCGCACGCCACGGCCCGGGAAGTAAATTAACACTAGTATAGGTGTGGGCAGTGTCGATGGCAGGCAGCACAAGGCCTGGCCAGGGGACATGCGCCTTGAGAGTCAACGAGATTCTCCTCCAAACATTACTTGCCGGCTCGTGCTCCGCGTCGCTTGTCGTGCCGCCGCCGAGGGCACGAGCGGAGTCGCGGATCCCAGCTTTTGCCGCGCACGACGTTTGCCGCGTGCTTGGTCCTGTGCGCCGTGGGAGCTCTAGAGCATCACCAAATCACTACAGTAGCATTGCTTGCCGGACATGGCGAGCCATGCCGATATTTAGCCATGCAGCATCGACACGTCCCATAAGACGACGGCAACGCCATTCATCTGAGAAAAGAATGCGCCTGGCAGTGTTAGTGTTAGGTGAACCCAGTGTCTGTCTCCTCTTGTCGCTAATCAAGGGGTTAGGTAAGTCTGTCTGAAGGGATGGCCTCATCTTGCCTTGCGCACGAGACGAGACGAAACGGGGAAGCGGGGAAGGGACACGACGCGGACGCGCGCCATTGTATACTGGCAAGGCCGCGTGCGTGGTGTCGTTGCCATGGCGATGGCGGCGATCTCCATCCGGGGGCAACGCATCAACGGTCTGTGCCTACGTGGGATGGATGCCCATGTCGTGCGTACGCACGCGCGCGGGTTCAACTCGTGACTTGTCTAGCTCAAATCGTGGGGAGGTTCACCAAGTTTTAATACTCCAACAGTAGTAGTAGTAGCATTTTTTGCTGGGAAAGCAAATTAAGGGCCAGTTCCTTTCGGCGATTCTTCCAGAATCGCCCCCCTCTCCAGCTTCTACCAGAATCGCCGCTTCATATTTTTTTACAATCCTATCTAGTTAAGGTTTAATTAGCTAGGATTGTAAAAAACATATGGAGTGGTGATTCTGAAAGAAGCTGGGGAGGGGTAGAATCGCCAAAAAAACTGGCCCTAAAGCCTACTCTCGGTGGTCAGGGTGTACATGCTGGAGCAGATGAGCGTGGGTGATGAGAGGTCAAGTACGATGGACTGACCACGTCTACTGCCGCAGCCCGCGGCACTGAATTGAAGGGGGGACGGAGCAGGTGACGGAACGGCCCGCTACGTACACGCTGCGGGTCCAGGCGCATGCAGTTCCGGACGCAAGGCGATGAGTGACGGCGTGAAGAGGAGAGAACAGCAACGCAAGGACGAGGCAGATGGACAAGGAGTCAGGGTCGGGCAGGTACGCACGCTGACTAGTGACGACTCGGGGAGGCGTACTGGCCGCGTGGCCGTAGCACATCATATGCACATACGGGGCAAGACAAAATTTGCAATCGATCGAGACTTTGCTGCAGCTCCCTCGTTAACAGGTCGCTCGCCTTCTCCACGGGCCACGTCTCGGCCGCCCACCAACTGCCCCACCAACCTGCAGTTGTAGGGGACTCAAGTACTCCACAGTCCACACACACACTAGGCTAAAGTAAAACCTGGGTGGGGTAGTAGATGGCACAGCCTAATGCTCAACCGTACTACTCCCTCATTTCCGGTTTATAAGCCTCAATTCAAAAATCTCATCAATCAAGATAGATGATGAGTGATGGAATATTTTTTATAGTTTGCAAAAACATCCAATTAATGCTCTTATTTTCCTTAAAAAATATGTTTACGAATGCATTAATTGTAATGCATGCATGCATAAAGTGTATGCATTGATCAGTTTTCTCGTAATACTTGCATGCAATGATTTAATGCACCTTGAAGTCTGAACATGTGATGAGAAACAACCAAATTAAGCCTTATAAAATAGAAAAACTAAAATTTTAAGATAAGCCCTATAAACCGGAAAGGAGGGAGTAGTACAAAATATCCCTACATCCTCATCATTTAAAGTGGAAGAAAATCGAGCTCGCCGGCGACAGCGCTCCTCTTTCTGCCCATATGCACAGTCATCATTTCGCCCGGATCCTGGACAGCGACCATTCAACAGCATATATATGCATAGCTAGAAGAGGATGGGCGCGGCGCAAAGCACCTTTCCCGCCAGGCAACCCAACAAAAGCCAACTCGCATTGCTGTTGCTGTGCGGCGAGGTCTTTTTCCCAACAGTTTCCCAACTGCCAGGGGCAAAACAGACCACATCGAGACCGGGCAATGAACCCATAACAGCGATGGACACTGGCCAGTCCCGTCCATCAAAGAGATCAGAGTGCCAGGCACATGCCCAAGTCCTGCTGGGGCCATCATCACATCAAAACTATTTTCACAATCTATGAGACTGCAGGCATTGCTGAATAAATTCCAGTTGGTCCATGAATACCATCTCAACAACAACATAATACTATATCAGCTGTGCATATCAAATGCCATCTACATGAGCTATAAACGCAAGGAAGAATCGCATCAATAACCGCCCCTATCCAATTTCAATCAACCTTAATTATGGCATAAACTCATTGCCCTATGTATACATTTGGAACAACCTGTCCCCCATGGATCAATACAAGCTGCAGCCAATGTCCGGACCAATGGAAACAAACAACAAGCACCGCCTGCGCTGTCAGGTCAAAATGCTAATATATGGGAGGTGCAAGCCCTGAATCAAGAAATAATCAAGAGATACATCAGAGTCAGTATGAGCTTAATTCATGTGAAAGAAGAATGAGAAACAACATATTGCCTAATAAAGGCTAAAAGGCGTATCAATTCTCAATAGCTTTGGGTAAACTGGTTCGTGCACTAAAGCTAAGTACTCTGCAGAACATGAATAGCAATATGATTTAATATTTTTTATGTAGCAATGTCTCCACGCTAATCCTCTATCTATGTCTACAACATGTCTAGCAATGAGCATCTCAACGAGAAGAACATGGAATATTGCAACAGAGAACTGCAAGTTACCTCAGGACAATATAACCAGTCCAAGATATATCGACGCACAGAGAAAAATAAATGAGATGAATCCCCTGAAACAAAGAGTATCAATTGTTAATGAATACAAAAGTTCTTAGTGTCAGGACCACCTTCATACAATATCATGGAAACAAGGAAAACATGCTCTCGAAAATGAAAACATGGAAAAGGCTGAATCGCATAGCATACCATATAACACCCCATCCAACGCCATTGCAAGGGCAAGGGCAGATTTCAGCAAATTTCTCAGCATCACTTGAATTCACTCTTCGGGATATGGTGTCATCATAGATATCTACACAATTCAACGACATTTAACTTATATATACAGTCTGCAACTCACTGATTGCTCTAACATGAAATTACAAGGAAAAGGTTGCTGTTCCTTACCGTAAACTGAAAATAAGCTATTCATAACACCTGTGCATGCAAACAAACATAAGAACACATTTACAATATAATCATTTTTATCCCAGAAACCCTGGGTGCAAAATAAACTAAAATAATATAAGCACAGGGGGTCTAAGCACTCACCTATGAATAGAATAACATACTTCAGAACATGGAAAGTTGTAAATTCTTGTATAACCCAGACAACAGCAATGAATATGATGAAACCTGGAAAGTTATATTGTAAGTAGCAGGCTGCAGAAGGAAGTTCTAAATGAAGATGGAGTCATAGTTATGCATACCAATGCAGAGCCAGCGCAGAAACCACTGCATAATTCAATTAATAGATTGTAATACTTTAGTAAATCATCATTGTTAATGATTAAAGCAAGTGGGAAGAAACAAATGAAGGAAATCAACAGATGTAACAATAATTTAGCAAACTTACATTTTTGGCAACAAAGAGAACAATAATTAATGCAAGTATGAAGCAACCAGCCGCAATTCTTGTAGCTAGGAGATGTGTAGATGAAAGTATGAACACCATTCCCCAAAATGATGAACCCAGATCTGCAATTGAAACAAAACAGTAGCACGAAATAAAAACCAAAGTACTAAAATAAGAACAAGTGGGAAATGACCAATAAATCATTACAGAGAATTCAAAGTATGTATTTGAGCTTCTTGTTTGAAGGCATGAAAAGAACGATAAATTATAAAAAATAGTCATAAGTCATAAGAACCTAGGGAATTTGATAAGACTGCACATGAGTCTTACGGAGAGATCGTTTAGTTATTTATTGGTCCAAGAGGTTCACCAAAATCAATCTCTCAATCAGGGAAAGAAACAACCATAGGTATTTCAGTGACAAAGGCTGTGTTTGGCATTGCATTGGATAATGAAGCCCAGTTTTTCCAATGAGCTTCTATCTATTTTACCGTTTGGCTAACCAATGTTTTCCTGCTTCCGTGGCTATTCTCCCGCGGTAGAGTATAAAATTAGTTCAGCACAACACAGTTCGGCAACCGTAAACTGAACTAAAGAACCCACTACTTTCACTTTTTTGTTTGTGTTATTGACAAGACTTGTATAAGGCAGAGGGAGGGGATGAGTAAGTGCTTTATACATCCAGCAGGCAAGATTATCCAGTAAATGCCACCGCGAGTTTGTGTAACACCACCCTCATTAGCATGGACCTGCATGCCCTCAACCTGCAAAAGCCAATTAGATTGAAATATTATTATCAGCCTGTGAGTTTCATTAACGAACGAAAGCATAAAACCGCATGGCTACGTAAGAAAAAAAATCCAATCCAAACATAGAAAGAGACTAGATATCTTTGCACCTACATTTCAGAATTGAAGGACATAGACAAGGAACTCAGAAGATGCCTTTTAAATGTTCTACGAAAATTTAGTAATCATCATTCTTGTCTTAACTATGGGGCTGTCCAAAAATAAAACCAACACTCTCCGGCAATAAATAACTGTTAGTTCAACAAAGTATGTAGTATCGAGGAAAAGAGGAAATAATAAAGATAAACAAATATTGCCATGTCACAAATTAAGCAATAATAATAACCATAAAATAAGCCGTGGATTGTTCTAACCCAATGGCGATTCAACTCCGATGACCACTAATTAGAACTTCCAATTCTACCCATGCCGATATCAAAATACACCAAACAGATGTTTTCATGCACCCATATTTTACACCTAATCCTGCAGTTGTCTCTCTAGTTGCGTCTGTGGAAACAGATGCATGTCCTGCGACCAGTGGCGGTGCCAGCACCAAAAAGCTGTGGGTTCAAGTGCCCTAATCTCTCCAAAATATCCTAATTTTTGCACAAATATGAATAGAACTAAGCTTGCAATCAAACAAGCTGACCCCACAGAGTAAACATAGAAACGCCCCCTGCCTGCGACAACGCACTTAATGCCTGCTATATAGGAGCCATTAAACTACACGACTAGTCCATTTTAGCGTTGTAGCACAAGAAAATGCCAAGAGAGTATACATTCTCCAGAAAAAAAAATACAATCTTTCACCAAAACTCCTCACTTGAAAATGGTGCTAGTGGAGGCTATCAGTCGTAGGTCTTTGATGAAATCTCTCATTTTGGAAGATTGCAAGAAGAATGCAAAAAATCACAATTTCATGGTATATAACCATGTAGTACCATGCAACCAAAAAGGTGCTATCACATTATTCTGTATGGAATCCATCATCGCTAAATTTCTGAAAGGAAGACCTAAATTTGAAAATTAAAGGACAGAGCTTGATAAGTAACGCAGAATGCGCCTTCTAAATGTTCCAAAATCAGTAATCACTGTTCTTATCTTATTCTTACCTCTAGGGTTGTCCACATACTGAATCAACGGTCTCCAGCAATAAATATCAGTTAGTTCAGCTAAGTTTTGAACATGGAAGAAAAAGAATAGACAAAAACAAATATTGGGCACAACAAATTATGCAATAAATGACAGAATAGATCAACGGCGATACAACTCCTCTCTTGCGGGTAATGACGGTACAACTCCTCTTTTTATTGCGGGTAATGGCGAGACAACTCCGATGACTACTAATCAGAATTTCCAATTCTGCAAATGCCTACATCAAAATACACTAAACAGAAATTTTCATGCACTTGTCCCTTTAGCTGCACCCGCGGAATGCAGATGCATGTGGTACTTCACATGCTGCGCCAAGCCGCCAACAATGTGAGCGAAGATCCATTCACGCAACTGCTATCACCGAGTCACTAATCTGCATGACCAGTCCATTTTAGCACTGTGGCATAAGAAAATGCCCAAGACAGCACACATTCTCCAGAAAATTAGCATCTTTTGACCAGAATCCCTCACTTGCAAATTGTAGTTAAAACATAAAAGGAGCAGGAAAAAAGGGGTAGGTGCCTTGGATACCCCTGTTATCGGAAGAATGAGAATATTCATACTTTCATGATGTGAACTACTCCATGTGACGAAGAAAGGAAGAAAAAAGCAAACAGTTAAAAGGCGCTATCACATTGTGCTATGGAATCCATCATCCGAACTGGTGTGGATTGGCCACCCACTTGGCTACTTTTGCTTCAAAGTGCTAAATCACCTAGCTAGCAGTAGCAGTACCAACCCAAAATGGTGGGTAAATAACTCCATGGCTGCTGAGATTGCAGTGCACAGCGTCGTACAGCTTAAAGCGTCGTCAGTGGCCGCATTAGAAAAAGGAAAAAAAAAAACAGATCCGTAACTGGGAAAATGGTGGGCTTACATCTCCGCAGGTGAGCTTGCAGGCGAGGGCGTGGCTGGTCTCGTGGAGGAAGACGGTGATGAGCTTGAAAGGCGTGAGCAGGAACGTCCTCCACAGCTGCACACAAGGAACCCCAAATCAGGAACTCCCCGCCACTTGCGCAACCCCGTGCAAACACGACGGCGGCGGCCGGCCGCTCCCTCGAACAAAAAAGAAAAGAAAAAAGACGGCGGCGGGTGGGTCAGCGGCGGCGGGGGCTCACGGCGAGGATGACGACGGTGGAGACGCCGACGGCGGCGATGAAGACGACCTGGTTGTGCTGGCAGCAGCCCTGCAGCTCCCAGTTGACGTTCACCATCCTAGGCCCGGCGCAGATCTGCCGTCGCCCTCGCCGGAGCGAAAAGAGAAAGGGGGAAGGGGAGGGACGAGTGCACGGGGAAAATGGGAACTGTTCGAATTGGCCGGTGAAACGTGCCCGCACAGAAACCGAGGGCCTGGACCTGGACCTGGACCTGGCCGCGGACGAAAGGAAAGAGCGTTTGCGCGTTCGTTGGGCCGGACCCGGAGGAGAGCGTTCTCACTGGTCTACGGGTGGGTGGTGCGTCGTCTAGCCCAGCAATAATTGTTGCTAATCTGCTGAGTGCTGAGGAGTACGCTTGGTGATTAAAAATGAATAAATTTTCCTCACTTTTTTTTTAATAATGAACGAATGAATCCAAGGCTCCAGCAGCGGTCGAGGTGGCGGTGGGTGAAGTGCGCGAGAGACGACTCGGGTCTGACCGAGTCACTGGCTGGCTCGCTTCTGCTAGAGTACTTGTCTACTTTTGGTAGGTGGCAACCGTGTCTCTTCCTGCAGTTTCTTTCTCTAGGGTTTCTTTCTTTCGGAGCTGCAAGTGTAGAACGCAAGAGTCGCATGAGTACCAAGTCGTTGTGCGCACCGTTCGTCACCGCTTCTTCTGGACTGCTGAAGCCACGAAGAAATGTAAATCCGCAGTCCAACCGCAGAACCGGCGAGCAACACATGCAGATGTGGCCACCGGTGATGAACGGAGTGATTCAAATGGTTCCTCCTCCTTCTGGCGTCAACGTCGTAGGGGTTCCATGTCAGGTCTCATTGGCGAATCATGGTGTGTCGCGAATCGGTTCGATTGTCTTGTCAGCGTAATGGCCGGATCGAACTGCGTGGACGGAAATGGTGCCCTCCAACGGCTTCTCTCCTCTGCATCCATAAATAATTTCAGAGAGATTTGTAGGATGGTGATCCGATATGCTGGGAGTGGGAGGGGAGTACACTTCGCAAAAATGTGGGAAGACGACGCTTTTGTGGCAGAAGAAATACACGGCGAAGGTATCACAGTGGCTTACGCGGGTTTTTGCCGTGTTTTCACGGAATCGTCTTGCTTCCGCGGAAAGCACTGAATCGTCGTCGCCACTGATTAAATTATACGTGTGCTACAAGTGATCGGGCACGGGCATCCACGTGGCCGCACAGTGGATGCAAGTGCTACCAAAACCAAATCTCTTCTGTAAGCTTACAAACGCTTCGAGGTTTGTCTTCGCCTTTCAGGAAAAGTTTTTCCTTTTTCCCCCTCTTTGCCAAATGCCTTGTGGGGCAGATGTCCGCACATGGCTTTTAGATGGGGCACCCTTATCCTGAGTAGATAGAGTCAGTTTTGCTCTCGCTGATCTGGCTATGCTCTCAACACTGCAGCGAAAGATGGACATGCAGTTTTGGTTTCGTACATTCTTGTTTCTTCAGAATAACACTCGTTTCTTTTCAAACCGATGGATCAAATCATCCAAATTAGGGCCAGGGACACCTGGCCGTATCAAAGATCATCAAGAGGTATAAATGATGACATAATCATCCCTAGATATTAGCTGCCTGTTCGGATGCTCTCCCGTCTTTTAACTCTGCTCCGCTCGAGGAGCTGGTTTCAAGCCGCTCCGTGCTTTTGTGCTGTAGCTCCCTCCGTTCCGGGAGCTGCAGTGAGGAAGCAGAGGGGGCTAGATAGCCAGACAACCTTTTATTTTAAAGGGAAACAACCAGACAACCTAATGGCCCATCCGACATAATAAAAGTCTGCAGGCTGTTTTCTGACAAAAAGGACCCTCATCACGCGGGAGCTATTTCTCGCCCTCGTGCCGCTCGTGTGTCGTTGTAGGTTCGCGTACACTGCTTTGGTTTTCTTCGCCTTTTCTTTCTTTTCTTCGTTATACTTTGGTTTTATTTTGTTTCTTTCTTAGCTTTCTTTGCATTCTTCGGTTTCATTCACCTTTTCTTTTGTTTCTTTCTCAGCTTTCTTTGCATTCTTCGGTTTCCTTCACCTTTTCTTTTGTTTCTTTGTCGGTTTTATCGGGGTTTTAACACATGTCTGTTTTTTAGTACACAATGCATATTTTTAGTGCACACTTTTTTATACACATTTTACATTTTTCAAATACCTGATGTATATTTAAAAAGCAACATGTTTTGAATACTTTTTGAATACATGGTAACATTTTTTAAATACAAGTTGTACATCTTTTTAATGGCAATAAACACTTTTTTCAACCTGCACGAACAATTTTTTTACAATGCATAATTTTTTATATAAAATTCACAGACATTTTCAGATGTAAATATTTCTTTAAAATGTCACATACAATTTTTAATGGAAATAAATATTTCTTTAACCTATGCGAACATTTTCTTACTTTGACCTCCTCGAGTGGGGATACCAACCAGGGTTCAAATCCTGGTTCTCACAAAAAAACATTTTTTTAAATGTCATGGTTTTTTTTGAAATGCGGGAATATATGTTTGAAATGTCACGTACATTTTTATAATGGTATGAAACATTTTTTTACATTACGCAACCATTTATCGGAAATATCACAAACACATTTTGCAAACTCATGTAACCTTTTTTTAAATGTAGCATGCATTTTTTTCGATTGTAACAAACATTATTTTTAGTATTATGCGAACATTATTTTAAATTTTATAAAATGTCACATACATTTGTTTAAAATGTCATAAACATATTTTGTACACATGATTAACATTTTCTACTTTTTTCATCCACATCATAAATTTTTTGTGTACATCTAAAATATTTTCTATACGCATATAACCTTTTCCAAATGCATGACTACTATTTTTCAAAATTTATGTACAGTGTTTTTTGTAGTATTTAGATATTCTAAAATATGAAAAATAGTTAAAAAAATAAAGGAAAAATAAAAAATATGAAAAAAGGAGGAAAAAAACACGTGTGACGTCAACATGACGTTACCATATGGTTACTGTGTCGGCCCAACATCGGCTTCCTGCGGGTGATCCTATGCTAGGAGTCGTTGCGGGCGACACATAGTTGTGCCCCCTCAGCAACCCCCAAATTTCATCGTAAGGCTCATTACGGATTGTAGAATCTTCATAGGAACAATAGTGACGCATCTATCTCACTTTATGCAAGTTAGAGCATCGTCTCGCCTCAAGCGAGGAGGTTGTCGTGGATCTAAGATTGACAGTAAAATGGGGAGTAAGTATGAGGAGGCAAGATCCTAGCTATGGAGTAGTTGTACACATGAGTTTACGAGTTCAGGCCCTTTGCGGAGGAAGTAACAGCCCTACGTCTCGGAGCCCGGAGGCGGTCGACTGGATTGTATATGTGTGTGAGTTTACAAAAGATGCGAACCCTTGTCCCAGAGGAGGGGGGTGGCTTATATAAAGTGCGCCAGGACCCCAGCTCCCCTCCGTTACACAGGATTCAATGTACATTAAGAGTGGAATGTTACTGGTAACGCTAGCAATTAAGTGATATAAATGACAATTAAGTCTATGAGTAAACGCCCGACCGTTGTTTGTGCAGAGTGGCTTTAGATCCTCTGTATGTCGGGTGGCTTCTGTTACAGTCGAGTGTCATTGATTCTTTCGAGTGGAATGTCTTTAGTCGAGTGGATGATGATACCCTTCGAATGCTTTTGGCTTTAGGGCGATGACCTTGGGGAGGCGTCTAGGTCAGACCTGTGACCCTACCTAGGTACATAGCTTCATCATTAGCCCCCGAATGGTTCGGGGCTTGAGTGGGAAGGAGTTGGGAATTCTTCCGATTCAATTTCCATGCTTCGGGAATGTAAGTGCATCTAGTGCCACCCCTAGTTGGTTTTGGAGTATTGACGACAAACCTGGTTGAGGGACTAATGTGTTTGTGAGAATTGCAGGATAACACAGGTAGAAGTCCCTCATTGATTCGGTTTTCCTACCGGAGATGACCTCTAAAAATGTATGAAGACATTGAAGTCAAAGGTGGTATGTGAATACATTCACATTGAAGACTATGACAAGAGAAGACATCGCGTGAAGACTATGGAGCGCGAAGACTTAGTTGTTTCGTCGTTATTTTTCTTCTTTGTTGAGTCATAGGAACCACCGTACTGTTAAGTGGGGTCCAAGTAAACCAGTCAGAATGACTGAAGTGATGCTTAACCAAAATCCTATGTCTTCGAGCGAAGACAATGAGAGCAAATCTTATCCAGAGCTGGATAAGTCAGCTTTGATTGTAGCTCAAGTAAAGTTGCCGTGTGTGTTTGAAATCTGACCGTTGGAACACGTGTCAGTTCCTTAGTGACCCAGGGTCATTTCAGACAAATCAGGTCGGGTTGTCTAGTGGCTATAAATAGCCCACCCCCTACACCATAAATTGGTTGGCTGCTCAGAGTTAGTGCACGGCTTTTGTCGTTTGAGAGCAACCCACCTCGAAGCCTTTGAGAGAGAAATCCTTGCGAGGACAAAGCCCTAAACACCCAGAGCCAAAGAGTGTTAGGCATCACTTAAGTCTTCTTGTTTGTGTGATCTGAAGACTTATTACACTTGAGGACTGTGAATCCTCTAGCCGGTTAGGCGTCGCGTTCTGAGCATCCAAGAGTCATTGTGGATCGCCGGTGAACGAAGTCTGTGAAGGTTTGGAAGTCTACCTTGAAGACTTACCAGAGTAATTGGGCGAGGACTGGGTGTCCTTAGCTCAAGGGGAATAAGGTGAAGACGCGGTCTTTTGAGTTGAATCTCAGCCTCCCTAACCAGACGTATAGTTGTCACAGCAACTGGAACTGGTCCAACAAATCATTGTCTTCAACGAGCCACTGGTTCTATCCTTCCCATCTCTTTATTTGTAGATTGGTCCTTGTGAAGTCATTGCCTGTTTGCATTATCTATTTGTCTTCATGGTGTGACTGCTTGTTCTGATTGGCTTCATACTATCTTCCATCCTGATCTATACTGCCTAGCTGCTATTAGTCTTTGTGCTTTCATTTTATTGAATACTTGACTATGGCTTGCTTAGTGTAGTCTACCTTCCGCTGCATGGTAATAGGTTT